GCTCAGACCCCTCGAGAAGGTCCAGCCTTTGTCCTCAGACTTGGATCTGAGCCTCATGGCCAAAGCCTCTCATGCCCATGTCCTTATCTCTTTTTTTTTCAATTTTATTTATTTATTTTTAGTGATTTTATTTATTTATTTTGCATGACAATTCTAAATATATCATTATACCATAATTTATCATGTCTCTGATTGTATATAAGGAATGTTGACACCAAATTCACATCTTCATACATGTATTTTGTATAGTGATGAGGGTCTCCTTCCACCATCATGCTATTCCCCTTCTCCCTCCCTTTCCCTCCCACCCCTATTCCCTATCTAGAGGTAATCTTCCTCCCTTGCTATCCCTCCCAACCCCCTTTTGAGTCACTCCCTTATATCAGAGAAGACATTCGGCATTTGTTTTTTGGGGGATTGGCTAACTTCACTTGGCATAATCTGCTCTAATGCCACCCACTTCCCTGCAAATGCCATGATCTTATGATTTTTTATTGCTGAGTAATATTCCATTGTGTATAAATGCCACATTTTTTAATCCATCCACTGAAGGACATCTAGGTTGGCTCCACAGTTTAGCTATTATGAATTGTGCTGCTATAAACATTGATGTGGCTGTGACCCTGTAATATGCTGTTTTTAGGTCCTTTGGGTATAGTCCAAGAAGAGGAATAGCTGGGTCAAATGGTGGTAACTTTCCCAGTTTTCCAACCCATGTCCTTATCTCTAAAGCCATGGACAGGGCTGCTGTGAACACCGACACCTGTGTTGACAGCCCGGCTGATGCCTGGAGCAGAGGGCAGCAGTCAGTGGTCGCTTCTCAAAAACCGCAGTTTCACTGATGCACAACTGACGTGCCACACACCCACCAGCTTTAGGGGTCTATTTGAGGGATTTTGACACCTGGATGTGGCTGTGAAACTACATCCACACTCCCTCATTTTCACGTGCCCCCAAACTCCCTCCTGCCCCCTTGCCGTCAGCGTCCCCACCCCAGCCCTTCCTGGCCTGGGCGAGTTCTAGAGAGTTCCAGAATGCCTGGTAAGGGGCGCCTCCTGTCATCCTTCCCCATCTCACCCACCGACAGCCATCTCCTTTCTCCCTGGGTCTCCGTCACAGGAGTCACGGTGACTTTCCAGGGGATGGCTCCGCTGGCCGGGCCTCCAGTCCACCCTTCGCAGACTGCTGCTTCTCCCCACCATCCCACAGGCACCATCCCATGGAATCTGAAGTTCCTGAATTTCCTCAGCCAGACCCAGCAGGGCTGCAGAGGGCAGAGAGCGAGGGGGGGTGGGCAAGAAGAAGGAGGCGGCCCCCAGCCCAGCTCACTCCCAGCTCCTGCGACACTGGTGCTGTCACCGTCACTGCATGCACCAATGTCACCGGCTCGCCACCTTCTTCCGGCATGACTTAGCTGCCCCCTGGCTGATCTTTCAGTCTGTCTTGGCCTTAGCACCCCATGGAGGAGGTGCGGCGCCCCCTCCCCCAGGAGTCTGCAGCCACCCTCCATCTGTTGATTTTTTTTTTCATTCAACAAGAAATTATTGAGTACCAACAGGTGCCAGGCACAGGCCAGAGGCCAGGTAGGGCCAGAGGGGCAGCCCGGGCTGCAGGGCCGGCCAGATGCCTGTGGCTCACCTCCCCTCCTGCCCTGACCCAGCCCCCAGGAGGGGTGACGGGAAAGCCCCCTCCGCGTCCTCCCTGTCTTCCTCCCTGTCTTCTCTACTCCGCTCGGCGCTGGGGGAATCCCAGGCGTCCCCCCGCCCTCTCTTCCCTCTTTCTCTCTCTCTCTTTTCATCTTCTCTTTCAAAATGCTCTGAAGAGTGGGAAAGCTGGCAGGAAAGGAGAGAAAATGAGGCTCAGAAGGAACGGGTCTGCCGGGCAGCAGTTTGTTCACGTGAGGTTCTTCTTCCCAGGAACCTCGGTGCTGAAGGGTCCCCAGGCCTCGTGCCACCCGCGGGCAGCAGGCTTGGGAGCAGCTGGGGGATGAGCCTCCTGCTCCCTCCTGAACACAGAGGGGGGAGACGGTGGGGCCTGGCCTCACCGCAGCAGTGAGGTCAGGGCCGCAGGAGGCCAGGTAGGTGCCAGGCCTCTGCTGGCCTCTGTGGGAGCCATGCTGGAGACAGGGACAATGGGTTCTCTCCCCTGCCTTGAAGGCGAGAGCTTGAGGTCCCAGGTGGAGGGGAAGAGGCCTGGACGCGGGTGTGGCGTCCCAGTAGGGTAGTTTCCAGGCCTGGTCACCCCAGGAACTCAGGCCAGCACTGACTCCTCCCGCCCACCTGGACACAGGCTCTACAGAAGAGCCGGTCAGATACCAGCTAAGGACTCCCCAGCACCCCAGCGGGGCTTGGTGCTTCAAGAAAGCTCCAACAGGCCTCCACCCATGCCCCTCCTCTATCCATCCTGAACTGACCTTCCTGGCCACCTCTCTCTGCCCACAGGACCATATCTGAGAAGGATGGAGCTGGAGAAGACCCACCCAGGCCCCTTGCCAGGAGAGAAATGGTTCCTTGGCTGCCCACCGCCAACGCCAAGTGTCTGGGTCAGGTGCCCTGGAGGAGAGGGGGCTACTGGCAGTTGTGTCCCTGGGAGACAGAGGGGTGCGATGTCTGCAAGCGTGGAGTCTCCGTGAGCGGCTGGATGGCCAGTGGTTAGACTGCGGTCCTGGAGCCTGCCTGCCTGAGTTCAGATCAGAGCAAACCTGCTGGCTGCTCCTGAGCCGTGTGGCCAGGGCTGCCCCGGACATGGCCGGGGGAGTGGTAGACTGTCCGATTCCACCAGGAACACACCCGGAGCCATGCGGGGCACACGGCAGAGACGTGTGTCCCCTGGCCAGCACTGTTACTCAGCCAGGCCGTCCCCCTGGTGCTACAACCACTCGGACCCCACTGACAGGGTGCAGTGACGGCCCAGCCAGACCCGCCCGGTGCCCGTGACCTCCGCCCTGGCCTCCTCCCTGAGGCAGAGGCCGAGCTGGGCTGACAGGCCAGAGCTGCTAGATGGGCAGGGCTGCTGCCTCTTGCGCCCACCCCACAAGGCGCAGCTCCAGGGGCGCCACTGCATGCCAATTTGCACGGTGCCCAGGGTCAAGGGGTAAGCCCTGGTAGAGCAGGTCAGGGCTCATCTGAGGGGCCACTGTCCACCAAACGCTGTTTACGGGACCCAAAGAAGGGAGAGGCTGAGGCCAGAGGAAGAGCACCCGGGAGCCCATTCGGGCACCAGCAGGACGTGGCTTTTCCTTCTCCTGGAGCAGGAGGCCTCGTTCTGTCTTGGAGACTGAAGAGACCTGGGGAGGTGGCCTCTTGCACCCCTCCCCCCAAGCCACCTCTCTCTCACACACACACACACACACACACACACACACACACACACACACACACACGGCTCCACCACTCTCTGGGGGCAGGAGCTTCGGGGACCCTGAGCAAGCATGTGGTCTCCCCTCAGCCTCGCCCCTCTGCTGTGTCTGCGCAGCTGCGGCCACCTCGAGCTGAGGTCTGGCTGTCCGCACGAAGCCTCCTGCATGAGAGAGACAGACAGCCAGAGATACAGGACACAAGGCCAGCCCCTTCCAAGGGTGGCTCCCAGGTGGAGAGGCCCAGGGAGAGGACAGCCACTGGGAGACTGAGGCAGAGGTGGATGCCGCTGTGTGTGGGTGTGAACGAGCAGGCGTCCATGTGTGCAAGTCTGCTGTGATGCAGGTATGAAAGCGTGTGTGCAGATGCCCCTGTGCAGGTGTTCAGGTTGAACAGTGTGCGGTATGCAGATGTGCAGGTGTGCTGGGAAAGTGTGCATGTGTCTGCAGAGGCAGGCAGGCCAACGTGCACAGGTGTGCAAATGTGTGTGGATGCAAGCATGCTCGTGTGTGCGGGCGTACATGTGCAGGGCACCCGGGCAGAGCGGGAGGAGGAGGGAGAAGGGCAGAACACCCACCCAGCACTGGCAGGCAGGAGTGGCTCAGCAGGCGGGCAGGGCCAGGTGCCTGCGCCTCTGATCACACCCCAGGGATGGCTGCCCCTGGAAGGGTGCCATGCGGCAGGGCTCCTAATGCCAGCCCAGGGTGGCACCCTCTCCAGGTCACCACTCCTGAAGGCCGGGTTCTCACCCAGGAACCAGGGGGTTTCCTGACAGCTTCTTGGGGCGGGTGGGGGGATGACGTAAGCTGTTTTCCAATGTTCAGCTAAAGAACCTTCCAGGTCTCTGTGTATCTAAATGCATAGACCTCTGGGGACAAGCAGAGTTGGCTCATTCCCACCTAGTGTCTCAGAACAGTCCAGACTAGCGCTCCCTTTGGATTTCTAGGGCAGAGAAGCAGAGCCCTGCAGGACTGGCAAGACTGGATTCCTTTTCAGACCAGATGCCACTGGGTGGCTGGTGGCACTGTCACAGCTGGGACTGGAGCCAAGTCTGCAGGGGCGAGAGACCCCACAGCACCAACCACACCACAGCCTGGGGTCTGCATGCTGAGCCCAAAGTGGCCTGGACCTGTCCTGGGTGAGCAGAGAGCCCTGTGCTGGTCCCTGCAGCCATGGAGAAGCCCTCCCCCAGGAAGGACTGGGAGGCAGGTCAGCTGTGCCCTGGCCGCTCCGAGGGGTCCCTGCATGGCCCCCAGGCGTCCTCTCTGCATGGCCATCCTCAAGGTCAAGCAGCTCTCCCTGGGAGTCTCCAGAGACGAGCCGCTAGCCATGCCCTGGAGACGACCACTGCACTCCAGGGCCCCAGATTTGGTTCAGGAATTACGGATTGCAGGGAGGAGGGGTCTGTCCTGGAGCCAGCCCCCATGGTCAGGGCCGGAGTCGCCCCCTCCTCTTTCCAGCCACAGCCATAGGAGCCTCATGGGTTGGGAGGGCAGTGAGGACCAATCTGTCCCGTGCCCAGGGTCTCGCCCCTCCCGATCTGCACCCCAGGACAAGCTCACCCGCTCCCGTGGCTTCCTCCTCAAGAGCTTCTGCCTTCAACCTCTGTCCCTCTCCCCGTCTCCCTCTGTCTCCCCAACACACGCACGCCCCGGCTCCCCGGCCACCCTGCTCACCTACCCGGCTACTGCACCCTTCCGGACGCCACATAGACATCCCTCTCTCAGAGGATTTTTCCGCCCCCAATCCTGGGACAGGTGCCCCAAGTTTCCCCCTCTTCACGTCAATCCTGCTGGGCTGGCATTGCCTGCCTCCCTGGACAGAACACCGCTTGGGAGCAAGACCACTGGATGCCCTGTGCCTGGCGCATGGTAGATGCCCAGGAAATAAATGTGAAAGGAACCAACTTTCCCAGCAGAGAGCAAACGCCCAACCCCCAGGGTTAGGGACTGGTGAAGAGCCAACGGGAAGTATAGCAGTACCTTCGAAGGGCTGCTGGGGAGAAGGCCCATCCTGCAGCCACCCCATCCCCCAGCCCCGCAGCCCCTCCCCCCAGCCCCTGCCATCCGCAGCCAGGCAAGCTCACACTCCAAGACAGAGCTGGAGGCTGGCGGCTCTGCCATCATCTGAGGCAGGCTCGTCAGCCGTTACCATGGAGACCAGCCAGCAGTCAGCTCCGTGCCCTCCTGCTGCAGGGGCCGGGCAGAGCAAAGGTAGAGCCAGCTGCACCCAGAGAGAAGCCACTGAGAGAGAGGAAGCCTGTGTCCCTGTACCCAGACAGGTCTGTGGAGGCCAGTCCCCACCCACTCCTCCTCTTTCCTGTAGATGGGTGACCTCAGGCAAGTCACTTTACCTCCCTGAGCTTCCTGGAAGGAATGCAGATGAGGCTGCCAACCTCACAGTGGCACAGGGATGAATTGAGCCTGTTAGGGCACGAGACTGTCACCATGTCATCCCAGTGTGTTAAGCTCTGCTCTGTGCTAGTTTTCCGGGACTGTCATGAGGGTTTCTGTCCACAGCCCTTGTGTCCAGTTCCCCCACCCCACCCCTAACTTAGGCGGGGCTGGAGGAAGGAAGAGAGGCTCTGTCCCAAAATAGCACAAAAATATGATATTGTGTGACATCTGAAAACAAAGGACACCTACAGGGCTGCTGCTAACCAAACGTCGAAGGTGGCCTGGCTCTGAGGGTCACTACCTTGCTGCCCTGGGTGCCACCCTGCCCACTTCCTGTAATGAGCTAATCTCTAAGGGTGGCAGCCCTGCTCCTGAAGGACTTAAGGTGGCATTCCACCGGAAGAGCAGCCTTCAAGTCTCAGGGAGCTTGGGGAGGGAGGACATCCTGGCTACGGGTTGCCTTAAACAACCACTTGTCTTGGTACCAGGGAGGACAGGTCAAGGTGCTGCAGCCGGCCCTGAGCACGAGAAAGCTGCTCTCCAGCTCTCCACAGCCACATGGATCCTGGTGTGGTGTTGATCACCCGTGTTTCCTTCCCCCAAATGTCACCTCCGTCCAGCTCCTGGGCAGGGGGAGCTCAGCTGTGTTCCCAATGGGAGAACCTGCAACCCGTGCACTGGTCAGTTGTTGCTGCCACCATGCTGCATAACAAGCCATCCCAGAAGCCTCCGGGGCTTGGACAACAAAGCTGACTGATTTGTTTTTTTATTCCTGGGTCCAGGTCAGCAGGGGCCCTGCTCCAGGTGCCTTTGCAGGTGGCATGGTCACACGCAGCATCAGCAGGGCCTGAGAAGGTCTGCATCCACTCGGGGGGGGGGGGTTGTAAAGCCACCTGGCAAAGGACACAGATGTGAAAATCTATTCCAGGGAGAGATGGAAAGAAGACTAGGAAACAAGAACCCAATTTGCCACAAACTATCAAATGGAAGAAATTAAAAAGAATATGTCCCTTGCAGGGTAGAACGTCTCTACGGACAGGTGCATTGAAGGTGTGCTGTCAACGACAAAGCACAGATAAATGCATTATCCTGTGTCCTCATGACCAAATGTCCCCTCTGCTGCGGCCACACGGAGACCATGAATGCTCTCATTCTCGCAGAAGGGAGAAGGGTGCTGGGCAGAGGGGCCCCTGAGCAACAAGGTAGGGGACCCACCTCTCAGAGGGATCTGGCTCATTGACATAGCTCCTGCAGCCCACTCCCGCCCTCAGCAGCTGCTCCTCAGAGAACCACCAACTGGGGGCCAACTGGGGGCCGGGAGAGGCCGAGGGAAGCTGGCACCAGCACCTCGGAATCTTCTAGAATACAGGAAAATGGGGCTGGGGTACTGTAGCCCCTCAGGTTCTGGATGCGGGTTTGGGGACTGGAGTCACGAGGATTCTGACTCTCCCATTCCCCTCGCCATCCCCACTTCCCCTACCCTAGGGCTGCTGTCGGTGTCAGATGAGAGAGTACCGGGGACAGTGACCTGAGCCGCCGGGGACCCCCTTTGTGAGTGTGTTGCTCTCAGGGAGAGGACCTTCTTGCCAGCCCAGCGTGTTTTCAGAAGTTGGTCAATTTTCCAGTTTCCTTTTTTCTCCTTCCAAAGCTCTGCTCACCCGAGAGGATGTCGTAAACACTTGTGACGGCATCTCAATAGCCCCAGGGACGTTGATCATTACTGTGACTCCCAAAACAGCTGTTATTAATGTGCAACAGTGCGGGCACGACACATGGCCCTAAAACCTTTAACTGAGAATGCTCTCATTTCCCAAGCACCCTCTCCCCCGTTGTCTCCTGGGGAAGGACTCGTTCTCCCAATTAGGGTGATCTGAAAGCAGGCGTCAGGAAGGGTCAGACCCTCACCCTGGGTGAAGGTGAGGAGGCCAGCTCAGGCAGCCTCTGCTCCCCACTAGGCGGCTCCCACATGGGGAAAGCACTGCTTCCCTCTTGGGCTCCATCCCTTCCCTCCCGTCACTGAGATGTAAGGTTCCCATCCCCTGACCTGTGTCCTGCCCACCTGTCCCCCCCCCACTCTAATGCAACGCCTTCTGCATCTCCTCCCGCCCCTCTGCATGGCAGCTATCCTGTCTCTATGACAGACACAACCCCAACCCCAAACCACCAACTGCAGACAGACAAACTCCCCGCTGCCTTGGCTTAGTCCCCTCCAAAAGCAGAGTCTGGGACCAGGCTCGGGAGCAGGCACAAAGCTAAGAATCTCTAGTGGATCAAATTGTGTCCCCAAAAGATCATGCTCAAGGTCTAACCCCTCCGACCTCAGAATGGAACCTTATTTGGGAAGAGGGTCTTTGATGATGTCATCAAGTTGAGATGAGGTCATGTGTAGTGGGGTAGGGGACGGGATCCAATGGCATTGGAAAGCGGGGCACAGTGTTGCACACGTGTAATCCCAGCTGCTCGGGAGGCTGAGGCAATAGGATCTCGGGTTCAAAGCCAGCCTCAGCAAAATGAAGCCCTAAGCAACTTAATGAAATTCTGTCTCTAAATGAAATATGAACATGGGGCTGGGGATGTGGCTCAGTGGTAGAGCACTTGCCTGGCATGTGTGAGGCCCTGGGTTGGATTCTCAGCACCACATAAAATCAATCAATCAATAAAAGATATTGTGTCCATCTACAACTAAAAAAAAAAAATTATAAAGGGGAGGGCTGGGGATGTGGCTTGGTGGTTATGTGCCCCTCGGCTCAAAGAAGAAGAAAAGGAAGAGGAAGAGGAGGAGGAAATTTAGATACAGACACACTTAGGGAGACCAGGAAGGCCGAGTCGGAGGGACGCGGCTGAGGCTGAGGAAGGCCAAGGATTGCAGTGAGCACCGGCAGCAGGCAGAGGCAGGATCATGCTCCCCAGAGCCTCAGCAGGAAGAGCCCGACCACATCTTGCTCTTGGATTCTGACCTCTAGAATAGCCAGAGAATGAGCTTCTGCGGTTCTAAGCCCCCCAGTCTATGGGGATTTGTTACTGTAGCCACAGAAACCAAACACAGCGTCCACCTCCGAGGCTCCCACCGTCCCCAGAAGGAAATGAGGCCATGGACACAAGCGCTGGGTTTTTTCAGAAGCACCGTCAAGGGGCCAGTGTGGACCGTGGAGAAGGCACGACTTGGAGCCAGAGCCCTGCGCAGAGCAGACCTCTGTCCCTCACCTGAAGGCAGATGCTCTGTGGGCTCTTCAGTGACCAAGTGGTGGGCTCGCCCTGCTCGGACTTCATTAATGCCACTCCTCACCCTCCAGGACAAGTCTGGCCGTCCCCATCAGATGGGCTGACCACGAGGAGGCATCTGGAAATGTCCCCACACAGCAGGCTTCCCGATGGGCAGCTCGGACAGCTGATGCTCTCAGCTGGTGGTGCTGCGCCCGGCGACAGAGGCCACAGCCCCGGAGCACTGCCCGCCTGGTGGCCTCATGCCCATTCTCCTGCCCCTCTTCCCCGCGAGACCCTCTCATTCCTGGTCAAGGGTCCTGTCACTCCCTCTTGACACCTGCTGCCTCTTCACTGTCACTCTGTCCTAAGAGCCCCTTCATCTACCCCACTGTTCATTCAACAGTCCACTCTGAGGCCCGGGGCTGTGCCTGACACTGCGCCACTACGAAGCCCCAACATGACAAAGACGCTGACCTTGACAGCACCCCTCCAAGGGACACCCAGGCCTCAGACTGAGGCGAGAGGCACCAGCCCTCATCATGTCCCCAGCCCACCTCCTTCCTGCCACCTCCCAGGGATCCCTGTGCACCCTGGTCCCTCCGACTGGGGTCCCCATGGGCCAAAGGCAAGAGGCTACCAGAGGTCCATGGTTGAGGGCGTCTTGCTGGGGTCTTCATCTTACCCAGCAAGGGAAGGGGGCGAGCTGAGTCGGTCGACTGGTAAGCATCTAAAACACTCCCCGTTCCGCTGAGACTTGGAGAAGGACGCTGTGGGGCAGGATGCAGAAGTCTCGTGAGATTTAAAGACAAGCCTCAGAGCTCACCAACTCCAGTCCTCTTCCCCTGCGAGGCCAGACCCACGGGTACCAGCTCTTCTGCTGCAGGAACACCCTGCCAAGCAGGGTGGGAAGGTCCTGGCCCGGGGAGGGGGGGGTGTGGGTTTGAAACAGGAAGAACGGGCTCACTGTGAACCTCGCCTCATGCACCAGGCTGACAGAGCACAGGACGCCAAGAATCCAGAGGCTTCCAAGGAGGACGCAGGTACACAGAGACGTCAGTGTGAGCAAATGGCCTGTCTGATGTGAGTCCTCAGGGGGCCGCTGCCACTGTGGCCCTGACAACAGGGACCTTCCCAGCCACACCCTCACCCTTCCCTGGCACACCCTCACCCTTCCCTGGCACCCACATTCCCTCCTCAGGGTCGTGTTCCAGGCGTGGCACTGGGTGCTGAGCACGGAAGGAGAAACACAGTGTCTGGCCCCAGGGGAGACCCGTGGGGTGGAGGGAAGGCTACCTGCAAGAGACATCTCAGAGAATGGAGATAAATTATGGGATGGACCCGAAGAGGTCGCTAAGACAGGAATGGAGGCCCGCAGAGAGGTGACGGTCAAGGTGACATCTGATCGGGGTCTTGGTGTATGAGTAGGAGTTCTCCAGGCAAACAAAGGGAACCTGAATGACCTGGCTAGAACATGGTAGCCAAGGATGAGAGGGTCAGTCCAGGCCAGCCCCGAGCGATGGAACAGAATTGACACTGGGCTTTGATGTGGACAAGGTGCCTCCTGCTGCCCACCAGCTAGAGAGGGCCCCTGCCTGTTTCCACGCCCTCCTCTGGGGGCCACAGCCAAGGGCTATGGGTGGAGACTCAGGGCTGGCCATCACCGCACAGCTCCCAGGGCGTCCTACTCCAGGGCTGCCCCTGGCACGGTCCAGCCCCCTGTTCTCTAGGCCCAACCATCCCGCAGGCTCCGTCTGCCTCCTGAGAGACCAGACCCGCCACCCACCGGGGGCCAGGGGAGGGCTGTCATCTAGAAACCCCCACTGGAAACAAAGCTGTTCCAGGTTCCCAGCACAGACTTATTCTGCTCCTAACAGCCCCTCAGTGGAGAAGGAGGAGCTGGCCAGACCTCCCAGGGAGCCTCTGGGAGTTCTGGGTCCTCCGCTCCGCTCCCTGTGGTTCCCAAGGCCTCAGGGTGGAGAAGGTGAGTCCAACAGAAGAGATTGCCATGGGAGCCTGCCTGCCTGCAAAGCCACGTAGCTACAGTGAAGCAAAAGTCAGTCCCAGGATCCTGAGAAAAGGCACCTGGGGTCCTGAGCAAGACAGGGGCGCTCAGAATGTCTCAAAACCACGCCCCAAAGAGCAACGGGCTGTGAGCATGCCAACAGGTGGGACTCCAGCCCACAGCCTGCTGCCCCCTTCACCCTGCTGGCTCCAGCCACAGGCCAACCGAGCCACCTGCAGAACGGAGGCTCAGGGCAGGAGTCCCCAGCAGGACTCACCGCCTGCGCTTCCTCTCCCCAGATCCCTGCGGAGTAATCTGCCAATCTGCTGTAAGGTGCTTGAGTCTGTTAATTACACCCTCCCTCCCAAGCCCATTTCCCCTCTTTCCACACCCATCGCGTGCCTCTGTGGTTGAGCACCGCCCTAATGCCGGCTCTGGGTGCTGGGAATCGGGCCTGTCCGCTTGCTTATTACCGGGAAGCTTAGTTGCCAGGGATTTGTTAAATAAAACGCCCTGGTATTCCCTTCACTTGTTTTGACCTGCCTGACTACTTTCATTTGCAGCTTAGAGAAGGAAGCATGCCGTCCCCTGGTTTTCTACCGTGGAATGTGACAATGGCTTACAGATCCTAGTTAGTCCCTGCAGGGATCACCTGTTTCCATGACAATGTGCAGGTGAGCAAGCATTTTCCGCTTCCTGCCTCCTGCTCTTTGTCAGACCTCAGGGAACTGGAGGCCAGGGACTGGCAGGAGTCTTAGGGGAGGGGGGACCAGGTGGAGCCCCACCCCCTGAGCTGAGGCTCTTACCTGGGCACAGAGCAGCTTGGGAACTGCAGCCAGGCAGCTGTCCTTACGGCTGGGCGGAGGCAGGGGGATGCCCCTCCCGCGGCA